GGGGCCGCGGTCGAGCAGGCGGCCGGGGCCGCGGTAGTAGCGGGCGGCGAGGCCGTGCGAGCAGGCAGCCGGGGCCGCGACAGGAGCGGGCGGCGGGGCCGCGGTCGAACAGGCGGCTGGGGCCGCGGTCGTAGCAGGCGGCCTGGGCCGCGATCGTAGTGGGCGGCGGCCGCGGCGTAGCGGGCGGCTGGGGGGCCACGTCGAGCAGGCGGCTGGGGGCCGCGTCGAGCAGGCGGCCGGGGCCGCGATCGTAGCGGGCGGCTGGGGCCGCGTGTGGGAGGGAGGCGACACGGAGGGTCGCTCGAGAGCGGAAAAAAAAAGTTGAGCGCGCCTCGAGGCGCGCTTCGGTGGGCCCTAGGCAGAGTTCCACAGGGAACCCGCTCTATACCATGTGAAATGAGTAAGCAGGAATGAGAATGACTAAGGAAAGATTGGGTACAAATACAACCCTAGAAACCCTGTACCCCATATGTGCTACCCCACTATAGCCTATAGTAACTATGTCATATAAATCTGACACAAGTATCAAAACCTAGGAATGTGTACCCCCTATAGGCTAACCCACTGTAGCCTAAACAACTACAACAACATATATAATGTTTGACACCTTGCGCCTGACTACCCGCGCCCTCGAGCGCCTGCCTACCCACGCCCTTGAGCGCCTGCCTACCCGCGCCCTCGAGCGCCTGCCTACCCACACCCTCGAGCGCCTGCCTACCCGCGCCCTCGAGCGCCTGCCTACCCGCGCCCTCGAACGCCTGCCTACCCGCGCCCTCGAGCGCCTGCCTACCCGCGCCCTCGAGCGCCTTCCTACCCGCGCCCTTGAGCGCCTGCCTACCCGCGCCCTCGAGCGCCACCCTGCCGCCCTACCCTGCAGGCCGCGCACGGGCCTGCCCTGCACCCGCGCAGCCGCCCCTGGACCCCGCGGCGCAGCCCCTGGACCCCGCGACGCGTCGCCCTACTCGTCGCGACGCCTCTGCGGGACCCGAGCGTCGCCCCTGCCTCGTCGCGACGCCCCTGCGGGACCCGCGCGTCGCCCCTGCCTCGTCGCGGCGCCTCTGCGGGACCCTGGCGTCGCCCCTGCCTCGTCGCGACGCCCCTGCGGGACCCGCGCGTCGCCCATGCCTCGTCGCGGCGCCTCTGCGGGACCCGGGCGTCATCCCTGCCTCGTCGCGACGCCCCTTGCGGGACCCGCGCGTCGCCCCTGCCTCGTTGCGACGCCCCAACGGGACCCAGGCATCGCCCCCACCCCTCGTCGCGACGCCCCTGCGGGACCCGCGCGGCGTCGCCCCTGCCCGCCGCGGCGCCCTGCCCTACCCCGCGCCCGCCCTTGGGACGGTCGCCCCTGCCCTGCCCTGCAGCATCCTGCGGTCGCGGCCCTGCCCCGCCCTACAGCACCGGCCGTCACGGACTGCCCAGCCCTGCAGCAGCTGCCGTCGCGGCCCTTCCCCGCCCTGCAGGGCTGCCGTCGCGGCCCGGCCCCGCCGCTGCTACTGCTGCTATTGCTTTTACTGCTGCTACTGCTACTACTACTGCTACTACTACTGTTACTGCTGCTACTGCTGCTCCTGGCGTGGCCAGATGCAGCTCTAGGGCCGTCTGCGTGAGTCCCTCACACCCCAGCAGCTTCATGAGTGGTACGCTAGTTGGGGTTGTCGGGGTGGCCGTAGTGGGAGTCGTCCTGGAGTGGGTAGTTTGGGAGCTTCTTGTAGTGGCCTGGTGCAGCTGCAGCGTCGTCCTCGCGAGGCTCTTTCGGCCCAGCAGCTTCGTGAGTGGTACGCTCAGAGTAGAGGGTCACTGAGTACTGCTCGCTGCCCGTACGTCATTCATACGGGTGTCCGGACTGGTCAGCCTTGCGGGACACCTAGTCACACAGAGTCCCGCTGCTTCGCCCGTCTGAGCGACGCTTGGCGTACAGAGTTTGGCGACGACGCTGAGCTCCCCTCCTGGCTGGAGCTGCTTAGGAAGAGGGTAGATATCTTTGCTCTTGACTATGAGGCTATCCTCACTGCCATGTATGCATTGTCTACTAGTGCTGAGGGTGCCTGTCACCTATGTGTGCCGCCTGACCTTAGTATCCAGTCTGCTGCTCTAGGTGCTGGTGAGGCTGCTACTCTAGGTGCTGGTGCGTCTCCTGCTCCAGGTGCCGGTGAGGCTGCTGCTCTAGGTGCTCGTGCGTCTCCTGCCCCAGGTGTTGGTGAGGCTGCTGCTCTAGGCGCTGGTGAGTCTACTGCTCCAGGTGCTGGTGAGTCTGCTCTCTCGTGTGCTGCGCCTGCTGCGGTCTTGCACAACTTCACTCTTGACTTGGGTGCTTCCCGCTCCTTCTTTCAAGACCGCACCACACTCACGCCGCTTAGTCGGCCGGTTGCAGTCTCCCTGGCAGACTCCTCTGGGGGTCCTGTCCTTGCCCACTACTCCACTGTCCTACCGTGTCCGGCAGCCCTGTCTGGCTCCCTGTTAGATCTTTACCTCCCCTCGTTCTCTACGAACTTGGTGAGTGGTGCTGACCTGCAGGATGGGGAGGTTGACCAGTTCACTCCTGCGAGTCAACGAGTGACCCACTGCACGTGTGCTCGGACGGGCCTGTCAGAATCAACAAGTGTTCAAAAGAAGAATGACGAAAGAGAAGTTTCACTAGCAGCAGTTGGGGTACATATAGCAAACCCTAACTGGGTTGTACTCGCTATAGAGCACCCCACTACAAGCTAGATAATAACATTCTGACACACCCCCATAGCCAAAGTGGGGTGTAATCCGCACAATGAGCAGACATAGTAATAGTTCACAATTATAAGCAAAGCTAGAGGCGATCACAGAGGACAAGTGAGGAGGAGGAATTGTGAAGGGAGAGAAGATGGGAGACGACGGCTGAAGCTGCAGACACACGGGCAACAGGAGGACTGGCACAGTGGCTACCGAGCGCACGAGGGCACCGGACTACGGGAGTATCTGGCTCCGCGGCTATGACAAGCGGCAGGAGCAACGGACCCACAGGCGACTTGCACAGCAAGGCTCTCTGGGCTACTGAGAGCGCGACGGCTCCGGACTACAGGCGCTGCGCACGACATGACGGCCGCCTCCTCTCAGCCTCCCCAAATAGTCCCACCTCCTTTCCACACACCCCCTGCTGCACCCCTAGCTCCACTCCCACGTCATCCCCCTAGCACCACTCCTTCGTCTCCCACACACCCACCCCCCTCAGCGGCAGCTGCAGCAGCGGGAACGGAGGAGGAGGAGGAGCAGGGGACCGCGCACACCCGCCACCCCCATACCCGTCACCCCCATACCCTGAGTGTGCGGTAAGCGAGCTCAGGTGTGCGCGAAGCATGCACAAGCGTGCGGGAAGCGAACTTGGGTGTGCAGTAAGCAAACGCAGGTGTGCGGGGAGGGGAGGCCGCAGGGCGACACGCGGTTTGACAGGGACGGGCACACGGGTCGCCGGGGGCGGCGCGCGGGTCGACGGGGCCGCCGCGAAGGGCGATGGGGAGCAGCGCGTGGGTTCACGGGGCCGCCGCGAAGGGCGACGGGGAGCCGCGCGCAGGTCGACGGGGACGGGCGTGCGGGTCGACGGAACGCGAAACCGCCGCATGCGCCCAGGGTGCACGGTGGGCAGGAAACCGCCACGCGTCCCGAGCGCATGGCGGGCAGAATACCGCTGCGTGAAGCAGGAAACCGCCGCGCGCCTCGGGGCGCACGGCGGGCAGAAAACCGCCACACGCCCCGAGCGCACGGCGGGATGAAAAACGCCGCGCGCTCCGAGTGCGCTGCAAGAAGAAAGGGTCGCGCGCCCGGGGCACACGACAGCAGTAGAGCAGCGGAAGCATCGGGTGGGGCCCACCCACAGGATCGACCCAGGAGGGTCGACCTGCTCTGATAGCATGTCAGAATGAACAAGTGTTCAAAAGAAGAATGACGAAAGAGAAGTTTCACTAGCAGCAGTTGGGGTACATATAGCAAACCCTAACCGGGTTGTACTCGCTATATAGCACCCCACTACAGGCTAGATAATAACATTCTAACAGGGCCGAGACTTGGCCACGTTTACCTGTCAGCCGGGGTCGAGCCTGTACACACTGACTACCGAGTCTCCTCCGGTTACTGCGTCTGGTCTGGTAGCTGCGTCGGGTCAGGTGTTTGCTGTAGCGTCCAGGTCTGTTCTTGCGTCTGCCCCCCGCTAGGTTCCAATCCTCGTCACTGCTGCTGCCTGATGCCATCTGCTTGACGGTCTAGATCGTTTCGTAACTGTACGTCCCTTCGTGTTACTTCCACCCTTTCGTCTGCAGTCTTGGTAGTACGTGCCGTGATTGCTGTGGTAAGGAGTGCACAGTAATGTTTCAATAATTACTATTCGTAACACCGTGGCTCATTCAGCCGTAGATCCGTGCTGGGATGGGGTGGGTAGGGGAGAGGAGGGACGTGGTCGGGGGAGGGGAGAGAGGGGAGAACCTTTGAAGGCAAGGCAAGAGAACAGAGGAGAAGGGCAGCTGAGTTAGTAGCCGCTGAGGCAGCTCCCTCCCACAACCCCACCACACGGGTTCTACGGTTGGCTGGGTTGATAAGATGATAAAGGTCCAGGCCGCAGGGGGCAGCACACCAGTCAGAAACAGTCACATGCACTAGGGAATTCGCTGACATGTTGATAATCTTGGGAGTCCCAGCAATGCACCATTCACGTGATGACAGCTGGCAGCAAAGCACTCACGTGATGACAGCTGGCAGCTTGAGGTTGACGGTCTCAAGCCCATCGTCAATCTCCCGCGTGACTTGAACGATCGAACGGAACAAACTAGGCTTGTAGGAATGACCTAGCATATGATACCATCTCAAAGTGTGCAGGCGGAATGAATGGAACTAGAAAGGGTGAGGTATGATCAGCTAACCATAACAATGTTGTACTTCCTATAGCATGCCTCACTATATCCTAGCACAAATATATATAGGTTGACACATCACAATAAGGCATGAGCATCTGGCCGCATGCGACCCGACCTGACCCGAACCTATTTTGTGTACGGACGTTCATATTCGGAGAATACAATGCACCTCTTTCTCGATAATTGCACGCCTTGTATCTGTGAAGGAGGGGGTGGGGGGAAGGGGTCCTGAAGTTCTTAATGCTGTTCGTCTACTTGCAACAGGGGTAGGGAACTTGCCCCCAGGTAATTCAACTTCTGCCCGTCAAATTCCATATTTTCAGCCCCTAAACCCCAGGACAACAAGGCAAATTCAATCAACTTCACACAATCGCTTGCAAACATACTTCTGGAAGTCCCACCAACCTACCGTACCCATCCCACACTCCTGCGACTCCTTCCAAAACAACTTGCACTCCCAACAAAAGTCTTCTCATCACAATACCCATACGGTACGGTATTACAAAGACCGACAAAGACGCCGCCGATTACGGTGTTGGCTGTGCTCCTCAGCTTGCGCTAATTGGTTTAGAATTTAAAAAACAATACTTCCGAGAATACGGAGGTTCAGGAATGATGACAAATTTCATGTCTCTCCTGCAGTCGTTGCCAACGCTGCTGGTGTACCCGAGAGGACCCCTTACGGTTATCGTGAACGTGCCTTGATTTGAGGCCTTAGAGAGCACACGGATGGGAGGGAGAGCTTTTCCAAAGTAGCAGAACACGAAGCGATTTGGATCCACGCCCACCACATCGTGCTCCTACGAGTCATTCCACTTGAACACTGGGTTGGGGGAGATAAGACGAAAAGTGCAAGAGCGAGAGAGGGAGAGGGTGTTTTAAGTCATTACCCATGCCTCTTGTCGTTCCACTTAAACACTGGGTTGGGGAAGAGCACACACAAGAGCAAGGGTTAAACTCTTGAGAATTCTCAAAAGTAACACCAACATACTTGAACACTGGGATGGGGGCACAGCACACGCAAGAGCAAAGGTGAGAGAGGGAGAGCGTTTATTGAGTCAAAACACATGGTTTTGCATACAAGTTACTGCCCACCAGACTGTGCTTGTGGCACCGGTCGTTCCGCTTGGGTTGTGGAGAAGCAAGAGCAAGCGCAAGTGCGAGTGTGAGAGAGGGAAAGTGTGTTTTGAGCATACAAGTCATGCACACCACATTGTGAGCAGGGTAAGCAGGAGAAGAGAGAAGAGGGTTTGGGTATGAGTGAAAACTCGCCATCATTGACAAGGGGGGGAGGTGGGGTGGAGGAAAGAGGGGGGAGTGGGTAGAGAGGAGGGGAGAGCAGGCAGGAGCAACTGACCAAGAACGTCGCCAAAATTGACAAGGGGGGGCTGCCACGTGCGTACTTTGGGGCTCCAACCAGAATCCTCCCACCCCACCACCACCGTCTTGGCGTCCTGGCAGCACATAAGAGGGGAGAAAACGCACTCAGGGGGGGGAATTAACTTAAAAAGGTCTTCTATTCACTTAGGGCGTGTGTGGTCCTTTAAAATCGTAAAAGTATACGTTTTTAGGGCGAGTTGTGCGAAACAAACTTAAGTCGAATCAAACTCGACTTTCCTTATTTCGGGGTTCGAACATCTGGACTACAACACAACAAAAAGGACACACACATACAAGGTCGAACCCCGACATTCGACCTTCAAAATAGCGCGCCGATCCGCGCGTCAAGAAAATAGATTACCCGGTTAAATCGACTTGAAAGTAGGTTACCCAGTAGTCACCTACATGCCATAGATGTTGCCACGTGGCAACCGACGAGTGCGCTAATCGTGGGCTGATTTCGTTTGGAAATTTTCAGCTTCGCAAGGCTGCCGCCCGTTTTGCCTGCTCCTCGCACGTGCTAAAAATCACACACGCTTGCCTGAAAGTGCGCACGCACGTTGTCTACTAAATCTCGAGTCAAGTTCAGATTTGCAGTTCAAATCTTTGAAATCCCGATAACTTCGTCATTTCGCTAAGTTTAGTTGGCAAATAAGGTAACCACACAAAGTTCGCTCTTTGTTTTGAACTTTTGGACAGACCACACACGCCCTTACTATGAAGAAACAAGGAATGAATGAACTAGCACAAGGTTGGGTACAAGTAGGAAACCCTAGGAAACTGTACCCCATAGTGTCTACCCCACTATAGCCTAGACAAGCTATATAATATGAGTTTGACACACCCCCATAGGCAAAGTGGGGGAAAACAAGAGGTCACAAGACCAGTCAAGCAAAGCAAAGCAACCTCAGGGTGGATCACAAAGTCACCACACAATCCGAGCACAAGAGCAAGGCCAAAAGGCCAGTTCACATGCAAGATCATATATAAAGGTAGACAAGCAAGTGCAGGTATAGAAAGATCACAGTACAAGCAAGGTCAAGAAGTGAGCAAGTGAGGCCAAGTAGGCACAAGACCTAGCATCGTACAGAAGCGCTGATGATCACAAGGCGGAAGTGCCTTGGTAAAGATATCAGTAGTATTGGCCTCAGAGGCCACGTGAGCAAGACGCAGCTGACCACGCTGCTGCAGCTCACGAGCAAGGAAGTAGCGGACAGCAATGTGCTTCGTTCTGTGCTCCAGTCTGTGCTCCCGACATAAGGCCAGCATGGCCTTGTTATCTACGTACAGAACTGGAGGAGAACGAGGCTGCTCTCCTAGGTCAGTCAGCAAGTAGGTGAGCCAGCGTAGCTCCTATGCAGCCATGGCCCCAGCGTAGATCTCAGCCTCACAGGTGGAGCCGAGAAGAGAAGACGAGCGGGTAGACCGCCATGAAACAGAGCCGGAACCAAGGCTGAAGGTGTAACCCTGTGACGACCGCTGCGTAGCCTGGTCGTCAGCCCAAGAAGCGTCTGCGTGACCTGTGAGGACCATTGGACGTCGCCCTCCAAGCACTAGCCCCATGCCCGACGTACTGCACAAGTAGCACAACACCCTCTTCGCTGCAGCCATGTGCTCTGGTCGGTGTCTCCCAGGAGCAACATAGCGTGCCAAGATGCTAAGAGGGTATGCAAGGTCAGGTCGAGTGCAAGTCATCAGGTACATGAGGCAGCCAACAAGCTCTGGGTACGGGCCACTCGGCTCTACGGACTCATCCGAAGGCAGAGCTGAGAGCGAGTGGTGAGTAGACAGAGGAGTGGCCTGAGGCGAGGAGTACGTGAAGTCGAAGTGCTGAAGGACCTGCTGCACCATGTGTGACTGAGTCAGGTATGGTGCGCTGTGCTCTGTCTCGGGTGATCTCCAAGCCAAGGTAGCTGCGCAGTTCACCCAGGTCTGTGCACGTATCTCTCTTCTGCAGCACGGACTTCACGTGGGCGAGTCCAGCAGTGTCAGCAGTGGCAAAGACCAAGTCGTCAACGTACACAAGGATGTAGAACGGCGGCAAAGAGGTGTCGGTGCGCAAAAACAGCGACGGGTCGGCAGTAGAAGGAGCAAACCCAAGAGCCGCAAGTGTAGTCCTCAGTGTGTCGTGCCACTCACGGGGCGCCTGGCGGAGACCCTAGACTGGCCGCCGGAGGCTCCACTGGGTACCAGGAGGAAATGACCCAGTGAAGCCAGGTGGGCGGCGCAGCCAGATCTCCTCGTGCAAGCTGCCCTGCAGGAAAGCTGTGCTGAAGTCAAGAGAGTGGAGCTCGTAGTCGCGCTGAGCGGCTATGTGCAGCAGCACCCGAAGAGTGGTCATCTTCGGGGTGAGAGAGAAGGTATGAAAGAAGTCAACTCCCTGCTGCTAATTGAAGCCTCGAGCCACGTAACGCGCCTTGAAGACTGGCGGAGAACCCGGCGGCTGCTTCACTCTGAAAAACCACATGCCACTGACGATGTTCGCCCCAGGTGGGGGAACCTCGTCTACGTAGGTGCCTGTGGACTTCAAGGAAGCCATCTCTAGGTCCATGGCTGACTACCACTGAGAGGAGTAGGGACCCTCGATCGCCTCAGCGTACGATCGAGGAGTCGGGATGTCTGGTGCATCCGGGTCTCCCTCAGGGGCAATCAGCGTGGACACAAGATGAGGCAAAGCAGCAGCAAAACACTGGAACTCCTCCTGCCTGTCCTCAAGGACGTCCGTGCTAAGAGCACACTCACCCCCGACGGACGGAGGACAGACAGACTCAGACTCAGCAACAAGACTAGCGGCGTAGTCGAGACGACAGCGAGCAGCAAAGTCGACAAGCTCACCCACTAAGGCAGACGCAACAGTGGACTCAAAGGAAGGGTCAGTGACACCAGTAGCCAGGAGACGCGTGACAGTAGGACTGGCAGCACGAAGAGAGTCAGACTCCGGGTCAGCAAGAACAGGAAGAGAGGACTCTGGAGGAGACGGCAACGGGACACGCAGAGGAGCAGTGGAAGGACGCAGTGTCATCTGGTGTGTGCCTGGGACCGCAGGAGGACGCGGATGCGGAGCATGACGACTAGTGCGAGCAGCACAAACAGGCGACGCAGGACGAGACATAGGCTTACGACGCTTAGCAAGACCTCCAGTAGGACCAGTGTAGGGAGAAGGAGCAGGTAGGGGGGAGGCGGGCTATAACTGTGACTTCGAGGAGCAGGACCAGGAGAAGGCGGGAGACCAAGAACCTTCTCAAGGAGCGGAACAAAGTACGGCTGCGGCCGCACAGTGCCTCCAGAAACAGCAGGGACAGCACCAGTACCCCCAGCGGAAGCACCAGCGCCAGCAGTACCTCCAGCTCCAACAGCGTCAACTCCAGCACCCTCAGAAGCACCCGCGCCAGCAGAACCACCAGCGCCAACACCCCCAGCAGCTCCTGCTCCAGTAGGACCGGCAGCTCCAGTACCGCCAGCAGCTCCAGCAGTACCTTCAGCAGGACCAACAGCACCCCCAGTCCCAGCAGCTCCAGCACCTCCAATACGAGTACCCCTGGGACCAGCAGCAACAGTAGCACCTTCAGCTCCAGCAGCACGGCTCTAGCGCCACGCAAACCACTCGCTCAGCTTCTGTGGACAGAGTGGCTCCCGCCTCGACGAAGCACCGCGAGCGGCCACACGAGCAGACCCAGCACCCCCAAACTCCGCACCCCCAGGCTCAGCACCCCCAGACTCAGCACCCTTAGGCTCAGCACCCCCAGGCTCAGCACCCCCAGACTCAGCACCCCCCGGCTCAGCAGCCCCAGACTCAGCACCCCCAGACTCAGCACCCCCAGGCTCCGCACCCCCACGCCCAGCACCTCCAGACCCGACACCCGCAGGCTCAGCACCTCTTGCAGCACCAGAGTCAACAGCCACCTCGACAGGCTCGACTGCGTCTACCTGGGACACACTTGACGGGGCAGGACCTTGAGGGGGGAGGGGGTCTACCGGGGGAGGACCTGGCGCAAGGAAGAGCGGCGGCGGGGGGAGGGGCGCAGTGCGGTAGGGGAAGAGACGGTAGTAAGGCACCGACTCGTCAAAGGTGACGTCCTGGGAGGACAGAACACGACGCAAGGTGGGGTGGTAGAACTGCCACCCAGGCGCGTCAGGGGGGAAGCCAAGGAAGACGCAAGGAACAGCACGGGGGGACAGCTTGTCCGCAGACAAGTCGCGGACAAACGCCCGAGATCCCCAGACCCGAAACGCAGACGCATCGCCAACCTTCCCCATCCACCGCAAGGTGGGGGAGGTCTCTGGCAAGGAGACCCGGGGCTGATGGTTGAGCTGATGCGCTGCGTACTGAACCGCAAACGGCCACAGAAAATGGGGGGCAGCCGCATGGATCATGGACGTACGAGCGACGTCCATGACCATGCCAATGCGGCTCTCAGCAATCCCATTTTGCTGTGGAGAGGCTGGAAGCGTGAAGGTGTGACGGATGCCCTGTGCATGACAGAAGGCTCCTAGACGGGCAGAGGAAAACTCCCCGCCTCTGTCAGAGTGCAGACGCAGAACAGGAAAGTCCGAGCCGAAACTCTCTCTGAGCTGGAGACGAGCTGCGCGGATCCAGTCGATCAACACCTCAGTGACGTCACCCTTGCTGCGCAAGGGGAAGACCGTGGTGTAACGCGAGTAGTCGTCAACCACTAAAAGGAAGTAACGCTTTTGCCCCTGTCCACGGACGCGGGCGGGGCCCCACACGTCCATGTGAAGAGTCTGCAGCGGAGCCTCTGTCGGAGGAAACTCGGAGGAGTGAGGGGAGGCGCGTTGTCGCCCCTCGACGCAGGGAACACAGGTAGGGGCAAGCCCCGGAGGTAGGGGAGAGAGAGACCAGGGGAGACCAGAGACAAGGACACGGGAGGCCATGCCTCGAAGACGAGGCAGGGAGTGTCGACCAAGGCGGTGGTGCCAAAGGAGAGTCTGGTGGGACAGGAGACGACACGAGCAGGGAGCAGACTCAGGACCAGACCTGGACGTTGCAGCAAACACCTGACTGGACGCAGCTACCTGACTAGACTCAGTAGCGGGAGGAGACTCAGTAGTAAGA